GGGCCCGGGACCTCCCTGGCCCTGCGGAGCCGGGCCGCTCCCGTCCTGGCTCCCGGAGCCCGGGGCGGTTAACGCGCGTTGTCCGGGGCAAGCCCGCGGAAGAAGAGCAGAGGCGCCGCGGCAGCCGTGCAGGGCGGCGGGTTGGCTTGTTAATGAGAACAGCGGGAAACCGCCGGGCCCCGAGCAGCTTCGCACCCCAGCACCCTGGCCGGAGTCCTTGTCTCCCTCCTCCCAACACAACCCACCCCAGCCCTTCCCACAAATGCCAGGATCCTGCTACCAAACAGAGATCTATACACATACACTCAGCTTCTACAGGGGATGACTGAAGCGGCCCCCTCTTTAGTCCGCTGGGCAGGAGCAGGTAGCTTCACCCGGGTCGGCCAGGCTGAGACCCGTTCGCTATCGCGCCCTCTCACCTGCAAGAGCTGAGCTCTGCTGGGATGCTTGACAGGCAACTCAACACTCAAACGCACAGCAGCAAATTCTTACAAACAAAAAAAAAGGCGACCTTGAATACTAATGTTATTTATTGGTAAACACGGTTAGCACCAGCTAGGAACTTCAGTCCACAAAAAAAGATTAAATTAAATTAAATTCTCAGCTTCGCCTTGGAGAGGCCAACTGCAAAGTCAAACTCACTCACACGGGCGCACGGAGCAAGGCGCAGGGAGCTGGTAGGTTTAATACCAGGCTGGAGGGTAGGGATGGGGGGGGAGGGCAGACAGAGATGATGGTAGGAAGGCGTTTCCCGATTATCACTTTCACAGTTGCTATAACTTTGGGATTGAAAGAGCTGGTGAGCAGAAAGGCACAACGTTGGAGTTGGCAGAGCAGGCTCTGGCACTAGAGGAGCACGCTCTGTGTGGGGGGCAGTGGGGAGGGGAAGGGGCACCCCCCCTTTGTACTGACAGGTGCCCAAAGTCAGGAACCCCGAGAAGCCCTCCGAAGGGAGACTGGACGGGGCCGTCCTGCGAAGTACACTGCAGTGTACGCCGGCATCCCGGAAAGGGGCATCCTACCAGAGCTTGGTTAGACTAGAGACTAAAGCAGGTGAAAACAGGGCAGGCTGCAGCTGATCACACCAGCCTGCCCGCTCCTCTGCTCGGCAAGGGCTCTTTTCAGTCTTGGTTAGACATGCCAGTCCCCAGCCTTCATTGAGCGTTTCAGAGTTTAAACCCCGCTGGGGCCCTCTTCCTCCGCAGGCATTCAGGTGCCAAGCTCGGGAAGGTGAGGGGCAGCTCCCCTGGGATGCACAGCAGCTGCCTCCACCTGGGAGCCGCGCGAATGCTGGGGACCAGGTGTGCTCTCCCCCCACAGCCAACTTTACCTAGGCACAAAACAGTCGTCAGAGACGGGCGTCATGGGCGAAGCTGAATAGGAGAGATCCAAAGGCACATTGTAGGTTAGTTTGGATTTGCAAAGGCCAAGTAGTCAATATTTGGTGTGTGGGGAAAACAGCCAGGCGCTGCCCCCATGACAGCCCACATCCCCCGTTCGCTGCAGCAGGAAAGGGCCTTCCGCCGTCCTCGCGGCCTGGACTTCAGGACACAGCTGGTGAAGGCCACGAGCAGGGAGCTCTGAAGCTACAAGCCGGGTTTTTTTCCTTGAACGTCTCAGAGCAGAAGTTCATTTGGCTGAGTTTAAACGATGAGGTCAACAGACAACAACTTTTTGGCACCATGGAGTTCCAAGGCAACTTGGTCCTTACCAGCCACGCACGTGGACAAAACTCTCGTCTGACCCACGTGGCCCCACATGTCTCCGAGCGCCGCGGTCCCCTAATGCAGCCAGCTACAGTGGCTAAGAGCCCTAGGTTAGCAGGGAACCTGAAGCAACTCCCTCAGCTCTCAAGGTTGATTGATGGAGCAGCAGCTCTGCAAGGGAGATGCGAGCAAGGCCTCTAGCGTCAAGAAGAGTCACTGAGTAATGAAGGGGCAGAAGGAAGTCCCAGCTATCCGCGGGGAACCGTCCAAGAGCAGCAGCATCCTTACAAGGCTTCGTGGAGGTTGTCAGCTCAAACCGGGCCCGCAGCTGAGGATTTGCAAAAGAAAAATCTTAGAGGGAAGTTTGCAAATTCAACCGGGAGGCATTTCTGTAGCCAGGGAATCTTCCCTCAGTGATGTCTGGAGTTCAGACGCGGCAGCACACAAACCAAAGAACGAAGCACCGTGAAGACATGGGTCAGTCAGACACCACGCTGACTTACTGCCCCAGCTGAGAGCACAGCAGCACAGCCAGGCAGCCCCAGGGCACGGGGCAGACCAGCCCAGCAAATTCTGTCTCAGTGATGATGGGGTCAGGAATGCAACAATATATGCTGCATACAACCACACATCCTGCTGCCCCCAAGACAAGGGATGCAGGGTCCAGGGTGCTGTGAGCAGACAGCATTTCACTACTCCCCCGTGTGTACCAAGCAGCCAGTGCTCCATGCAGTGGCTTACCAACGGGTGCACCCCAAGGCCACGGCACTGGGGCAGCGACCTGGCAAGCAAAATTCAGATGCAGAAGCTGGACATGTGCACCTGCTGGGCTGGGCCCGCAGTCTGTCTAGCCACAAATATTCATAGGGCTGCCTTGGAGTCCACCAGCAGCCCCAGCGGTTCTCCGGACTGCCTCAACCACACATCCAGGAGAGGAGCTCAGCCCTACAATGCCAAAGACTAGTGAGCGCAGGATGCAAGAAGCCCCTCTTCAGAGGCTGTTCCCTGGCACTGCTGCTGAGAGGATGGGAGCTGCTCTCTCTTCACATCCCAGTGACTTCTGGCGTGACCCCAAGGGGTTCTCGGTGTCCTCCCCCCACAGTCAGTGGCAGTGGAAGGCACTCGGCACCACTGCAGCAGCATTGAACTTTCCGCGTCCTGCCTCCAAAGAGCCCCCCGGAGCCCACCAGACACAGGTGCTCAGCCTCAACTATCGATGCACCATGCTTTGCTGCTGTCAGCTGCTTCTCGCTGCTCAGCTGCACCATGGCTTCAGTCCTATCGTCTCCCCTGAACTGACATTCGCATCAAGGACGGCAGCAAGTCACATTGCCAAGCTGTCTGCCACTCAGCCTTAGAGGAGTGATGGCAGGGGTGTTCGGACAGCGGGTGGTCTCCAGCCCGGGGCAGCCCTGAAGGCATACGCACACGAACCAGGTTAAACCCTGTCAGCTGCATTTGCAGGTGCTAGGTCATGTCATACACATGCTTCAAAGCATGCTTCGTGCAGGCACCTGAAGAAACTCCACCTGCACAGCAGACTGCAGAAGGTGAGGCAGAGCACAAGTGATACCAGGACAAGGAGAAGGCCTTGCTTCCAGCTGGGTTCCCAGGCCTGGACTTTTCTTCTTCTCCTCGCATCCAGATTCACAGCAAGCAAGCAAGCAAAAGCAAAAGCAATGCAGCAGCTCACGCTGCATCCAACCTCTACCAAGCGAGGACCTGCTGTGAGCGGGTGCTGCATGCCTGCAGCACCCCTCACCACTTGGAGATGCGGCGCCGACTGCCAGTCTCCACTGCTTGGAAAGAGGTACACCCTGAGGTCTGGTCGTGCCCGTGGCAGCAAGCACAGTCTGGCAGGCTCCCCCAGACTGAGACATGTAAACAACATTTCCACTTCATTGGGAAACCACCACCAGAGGCTGCTAACAGAAACAGCGGTCGTTTCACACTCCTCGTGGAAGCAACACAGCCCAGGAGCTTCGTGTACCCTGAAAACCCCCCACGTGCACGGACAACCCCCTCAGCGGCATGCTGAGTGCTGGGGAAGTGGCCCATATGGTTTGGACCGACTCGGACCATCCTGGGAGCGGAGGGCTAGGTTTGGCGCGATGCCTGGAGGAAAAGGGAACTCCCCTTGCAACAGGGAGCTGCCACATGGCATGGCCTCACGTCCCTGCCCCCAGCTGTCTGGACAGCTGCGTGCTTTGTGTTCTGCCATTTCAAGCTGCAGAGCAAAGAAATCCAAGTACAGTGAAACCTGGCTCAGCAGCCACTTGCTGGCCAGTCCCCTTCAGTAGCAGGCCAGCCTCTGTCCCCAGAGAATAGCCACTTCCATTGTGGGGCCACCTGCTCCGAAAACTGGAAAAAAAAAAATAGGGGCATTGCTCCCCCTTGGTGGCTGTTAACAGGTTTCACTGTATCCTCCTCCTCTTCCCGAATCGCTGCTGGTTCCAGGAAGTCTGCGCAGATATAGCGACCACGAACCAAGAGCAACCCTGGCTGGGAATGGCAGGACACTTCACTGCAGGCTGGGAGGTGCGGCTCAGCCAGCTGCTTATAGGGGCAGGGGCTGATTTCTGCCTCCCCGAGTGAGTCCCACTGCCATTCACTTAAGGAAAGAAAAACCTGCTACAACTAGGGGGCCCGGCCGGTGGGGGAGGGCGTGGGGACCCACTCCCCCGCGCCCCGCTCCCGGGCTCAGTATTGCCGGAGATTGAAGAACCCCACGCTGGTGGGAGACTCCTTGACTGTCACCGTGATCAGGTTGGCTGTCACGTCTGTGACAAAGACGTGCTCGATCAGGCTGCGGGTGGGTTTCCAGTCCTGGCTGGTCTGGATGGAGACCGACATGTTCTGGCCCACGCTGGGGAAGGAGGCCGAATCCCGGTCCGAATCGGAGCTGGTCTCTTCCCCCGTGCTCGCTTCGGAGAGCGCCGAAGGCTTGCGGCTCTCCGTCCCGGCCTGCCCCTCCTGCGTGCACGGCGGGCTGCTTTTGGTCGAGTCTCTGTCCCCGGCACCTGCTCGGGGCACGTGCTTCTCGCTTTTGCAGCTGTCCGTGGCTGGTGGCAGTCCCGCGCTGGCCCCGCCGCCCTTCGCAGCCGCGCTGCTCGCGTTCCCAGCCCCGCCGGCGCCGGTGCTCTTGGTCTGAGCTCCACAACCGTGACGAGGGAGGCTGCTGCCGCCGGCCGCGTTCTGCCTATTTTTGACGCTCTGCAAGTTTAAAGCCTGAAGGTTCAGCTCCTGGCTGCCGGGGACAGGCGAGCCAGCCGGGGCCTTGCTGCCATTGTGCAGGCCCTGAGAGCCCCCAGCGCATCCCGCCTTCTGATCCCCCCCGGTGGGCGCCTTGGAGGCTTTGGCTCCCTGCGTGTTAAGCCCCGGCTCCCCCGCTCCCTTCTGGTGCCTCATTTTCAAGTCCAGCCCTAGGCTGCTCTTGCCGGCAGCCTGTGCCTTGAGCGCCAGCCTCCCCGCCGGTGAGCCCTCTGCAGAGGCCTGGTTCTGGGCCATCCTGTTCATGTAGTGGACAATGGAGCTCTGCCAGCTGATCCCGCGGTTGGGGCTCCCCGAGGAGCCCTTCATCATCCCGGGAAGGGTCTCTGCCGCCGGGCCTCCGGAGCCAAGCCCGGCGAGCGCCCCTTGGGGCTCTTTCATGTGCGCCTTGAGCACAGCGAGACCCGAGGCCTGGGCACTGTGCTGAGGCTGCGGTTTGCCCAGCGGCTTAGCGCCACCACCCACCTCCTTCCGGGAGGTTTTCAGCACCTTTGCCAGGTTCACCGTCCTCCTGGCTGCTTTCTGCTCTGGCGGGAGAGGCTTCCGCCCACGCTTCTTCCTGGCGGGGTCCTTGGCTTCGGGCTTGGCCACTAGGATCTGAGCTTTCTTCTGTGGCACCGGATGGCTCTCTCTGCCCCGAAGGCCCCTCTTTGCCTCCAAGTCGCTCTCATCGTCCTCATCGGAGGAAGAGGAGGAGGAGGAGGTCGAGGAAGAGGAGCTACTCGACTTGGTTTTCAGAGGCACCTCTGGTTCCTTGACAAAACAAAGAGGGGACAAGGGGAAGAGCAGTGCGAGTCACGATGCCCAGGCCCGACTCTCTCCCAGTTAGGTTTTCAGCAGCCCGGGGACCCGTGCTCACTGGGACCCCACAAATCCCAGTGCTGCTCCATCCCAGAGGCGCCACGGCACATGGACACCTCTCCATGTGCCCACAGCACTAAAGCTCCATATTGCACTCGCACGTTCCCTCCCACCATCGCCAGCTAGCACGCACCGGGATCGCCCTCCTGCCCAGCTCAGCCACGCAGCCCCACTGCCCTCTGCTCCCGCCACACCCCGAAAGCAGCTTTGCACCCCGCTCCCCCTCCACCACGTCAGCAAGCCCACGTCACGGGACAGGAGCAAGCGGAGCAAGCACAGCTTTTGCAAGTTGCTGCCATCCTCGCCTGCCGGCCCCCACCCAGCCAGGGACTCACCACATGCTTCCTGGGCCTGCCCCTGGGCCGCTTGCCCCTTTTCCGATTCTGCACCTCCTTCTCGTGTTCCCTGCAAGCACAATTGAGGACAATGCGGGGAAAGTCGGACACTCCTCACCCGGCCCAGCTCCTCCCTTGCCCCTACCTTGTTCCAGCAGAGCGGGGTCGTAAGCACCAGTTGTGCACGTATGACCCCCTACCTATACCGACCTGGAGCATCTTTCCCGGAAAGCACCAAACCTCTCGGTCTCCCTCTGCCCCAGGATTTTTGCTGGGGAGCTGTGAAAGCCCCTGCTGTTGTTGTATATGAGCAGCCAGGGGAAGAAAGGGGGATTTATCCCTGGGCTTTCTAGGGAAGCGGGTGGGAGCCGCACCGTGCAATCTCTCACCCACGCAATATGCAGAACATTTACCCCAAAGCAGCAGATGCTGGTTGCTGGAATAGCAACTCTTACTGCAGACGGCGCATGAGGTTTTTATAACAGCCAATCTGGCAACAGCAGCAGCAGCTGCCCGGTTCTGCACGGCCACACAAGCACCGATTTGGCGCAGGAAAGGCACCTTCTGGTCCTTCTGAGCACAGCCCCCGGGCAGGTGTGCTGCCCCGCCCCCCCTGCCGGTCCCTCCCGGATGATGCGGTGCAAGAGGCCAAGGCCTCGGGAGCAGCGTGGAGGGTGCGACGGAGGAGGGAGGTTGTGGGAGAGGGGAAGGGGGTGCGAGGACAGGCCCTGGAGCAAAGATGGCTGACCGCCCGCCGAGGGCTGCGCCAGGTGCCGCGAGGTGCCAGAGCGCACCGGGGCGAGCGAACCCGAGCAAACTATTTTGGTAGCGACGCAAGGAAAGTCCTGGTTGCCTTGGTGACCTCCGGCAGCAGAAACCTGGGCAGGTCAGCGACAAGCTACGCCAGCCGCTTTGTCCGCGCTGAATTGGCGGCTTTTTCAATTCAGCCGGAGCTTTTGTACTTCGTCGTGCGTGTTGGAAAAGGGTAAATGGAAGTGTCCAATTAGCCTCCTGCAAGCCATTCATTATTTATATACCTCTATAGCCGCTCTGCCCCTTCTTTCCAAATTAAGCAGCATTAACCTCTTTACAGTTTCTCCACAGAGGGAAGAAAAAACAGTGGGTGTTTGTGGATTCAACACATCCCTCCACCGGGCTCGTTGCACTTCTCCCGCGTCTTTTGTTTTGCTCGGGAGAAGGTGACCCAAACCCGGAGCGGCGCAAGGTGGAAGATGACTACATGGCAAGCGCCTGAATGGCATTGCCAGATTCCCTTCTCCTTCGTTACCGCTTAATACCTAATTAAACCTCCCGCCGCTCTCGGGAACGACTCGATCCTTTTCTTCCGAAAAGGGAATCGGAAACCAGTTTTAATTAAGCCCGATCATAAACTCCTAATGTTTTCCATCACTGCGCAGGCAAACTGCTTGCCAACCCTGAGCCCGCCATAGCCACCCCTGCCTCGCCGCGCGCAAGGCGTCCTGGTTGGGATGAGACTCCCGGGGATGGTGCTTCAGGGCTGAGATCTGTGGAGGAGCCCTGGCCGGGGGACAGGGCCCAGCGTCCTCTGCCCGTGCACACGTGCGCGGCTTCCCTTTACACCTGGCCTCTGCTGCGGGATCCCGTCTCTACCTGCGGCTGCATAAAGCAGGACCCGGGGTCTCGCCCTTGAGATGAGGGGGTCCAGACTATTCAGCTCCTCCAGCCACTTCCTAGGCGGGTAGAGCAGGCGCCCGAGATAACCCGCCTGTCCCAGGAGACCCCCAGCCCCGGGGAGCTCCCCCCACCCCTAGGGCCCAAACCCAGCGGCGCGAGGGGTGGCTCACTTCTTCTGGAAGGCGAGGAGCAGCCGGGGGTCGAGGATGTTCTCTTCGGGTTCCCAGCTGTTGTGCCTGCAAGGGGACAGCCGAGCTTGGGAGCAGGAAGGGCAGGAGGGGCCGGGGCCGGGGCCGGGGAGGGAGGAGGGAGGAGGGAGGGGGCAGCCCGCGCCCGCCTGG